ATTCTAGGCGGGGCTCCACCCTGACCACGCCCCCAGCCCTCACTGGGGATTCTAGGCGGGGCTCCACCCTGACCACGCCCCCAGCCCCTCACTGGGGGTTCTGGGCGGGGCTCCACCCCGAGGTGGTTGGCAGGATGCCTCTCATCCTTCCTACAGCCCCAAGTCCCCAGCCCGGAGCCCCACACGGACAGGACGTCAAGGTGCACAGAGTAGGGAGACTCATGGGAAACCAACAACGGGTCCTCGTGACATCATTCCTAGGAAGTTGGCCGTCACTTCAGCACAATATTGAGAACAATCTGTCAGGAATGGGGGTTGGCGAGGGTCGGTTCTGGGCAGCGAAAGGTTCTGGGCACCAGGCTAGGGCAAGGGCACAGCGTGTGCGAGGGTCCTGGGGTAGCCCGGAGCCTGCGTGGGAGGAGCACGGGGGAGGCTGCAGCCACGCAGCACGGCGGGCCGCGGCTGCATGGATAACCCACTTTGAGCTGATGTATTGTGACCTGTCCGCGCCCTGTCAGCTGCAGGCCGATTGTCCTGTCTCTGCTTTCCTGTACATTGCATTTAACACGGCCTGGCTGTGCGGGTGGATGAATGGCCGCCGGAAGCTTCCAGACGCTCAGACCCGCGCGCTTTACACGTTCCCCTTCACTGCTCACCAGGACCCGGGGGGCCGAAGCGGTTACTCAGCTCGGACAGACAGGACGAGACCTGGTTCCCTCCCTGATGGACGGCCGGCCCTGCCGGCCCCCAGCTCCACAGTGTGCGTGCCTACCGCGCGCAAGCAACCATGCCAGACAATGCAGGGGAATGCCAGGCTGGGCACCTACTGTGCGCAGCCAACCACGCCGGGCATCGCCACGGAGCGCGCAGATTCCAAGTGCACAAGCAGCCACACCAAGGCTCCGGCACCCACTGTGCGCAGCCGGCCTCGCCAAGCGCTTAGTGTGGACCGCGCAGGGCAGACAGGGTCACCCCGCCAGGCAAGAGGACAAGCGGGCCCCGCAGACAGACAAGCTGGCCTCCCTCGCCCGGTGCCGGCCTGGGAAGCCCTGTTCTTAATTTAGGCGCCTTGTCAATTATTCATGACACTCTCCCCGGTTTATGACCCAGACCTCCCGCCCGACGCCAGGCTCTGGCCCAGCTCTCCAGCCCCGGCCCGAATGAATGAATTCTGCAGGGGAAAAACCCGAATTGTAAAATAAAATCGGTTTGTTGCCCGAGGCAGGAGGATCTCGGTGTATAGCCCAGGCTGGACCCGCAGCAATCCTCCTGCTGCTGCGGTCTGACAGGCTGGCACCCCCACGCCCGTGACAGCTTTGTTTTGAGGTTGTCTTCGGTCTTTTGCCGTGTTTTTATTTTTTTGGCACGTCTAGTAGCCCCGCTGACATGCGTGTGCGCACGTGTGTGGAGTCGGGTTCCGCCTCCCTCTGTGGGACCTCGGGGATCGAACTCAAGCACTCAGGCTTGGCAGCCAACACCTCTATGCACCGAGCTATTTCGAGCCCCTCTTTGATCTCATGTCAGGGTCTCGAACTCATTGTTAGCCCAGGCTGTCCGGAAACTTGACATCCTCCTGCCTCAGCCTCTTAAGCCAGCAAGCCCGGCTTGACGGGAAAGATTTTAGGGAAAGGATATTTTGCCCAATGGCAGCGGAACGGGAAGGCGGAGGCAGGAGGATCAGGTCGTCCTCGGCCACTCAGAGTTCGAAGCTAGCCTGGGCTACAGCACACCTTGAGTTTAAAGGGAAGGCAGGGAGGCCGGCCGGGCCCACGTGTCCCGCGCCCCACGTGCTCCCGCGGCCCTCTAAAGGCTCCCACGGCACGTGACCCAGCCGCGCCTCCTCACTGGGCCTTCCGCGGCACGCATGCGCAGTTCCCCACACGGCCAGCCCCGCGGCCGCCGCGGCGGAAGGGTGACGTCACCGGCTGGGGGCGCGCGAGCCGCAGTGGGTTTTCGCCCCGCCCGCCAGGCAGCTCGGGCCGCGCGCGCACGCGAAGTCGCCGGAGCCCGGGCCGACCCGGTGCCGGGAGCAGCATGCGGAGCCCGCAGGTACCGGGGTGCACGGGGCGCTCGGGGGTGCACGGGGGACACGGGGGCGGGGCGGGCGGCGCCGGCTTTGTGCTCCCAGGCTTCTCGGCCTTTGTGCTCCGAGGGGGTCCGGGCTGCAGCCCCGTCGGATTCTGCAGAGGGCAGAGGGATTGGGGGACCGGGGAGGATGGGGATGGAGGGAGACGGGGACCGAAGGAGATGGGGACCGAGAGAGATGGTGATCGGGAGGGACGAGAACCCGGAGGGATGGAGGCCGGGAGGGACGGGGACCCGGAGGGATGGGGACGCGCGGGCGACTTGGCGGGTGCCCAGGGTCGCCGACTGCACCAGCCGGGCGGGGACGCGGTGCGCGGTGCCGGCGTCGGGAGCTGCGGACGGGGCCGGGCACCTCGGCACACCTGGGGCTCCAGCCCCACCCTGCCGCGGCCCCGGCACCCGCCCCGACCTCCCCCAGGCCCGGGATTGGGGCTCTGCGTCTTCCCGTCCTCGCGGTGTGGGGCCCCGTGGGGATCCCCGGAGAGCCAGCCTGCGGCCCTGAGCCCCCCCCCACGCACCCCGGGAGCCCCCGGGCTGTCTGAGGGAGGTGACGTCACCGGGGGCGGGGCCTGGGGCGCAGGTGGAAAGGGGGTCCTGGAACGAGGACCCCGGGTTGCAGCGCGCGCTGGGTCGGGGCCAAGTTCCCCGGTCTTTGTGGCGCCTCCTCGCCCCCCAAAACCCGGGCACCACTACACACTAGGATCCTTTTGATGGCCACACCCCCAAAATCCTGTTCCTTTACCCCGTTTCCCTGCTCTCCAGGTGCCCCCCGAAAACCTGCAGCAGGTGTAAGAGCGCCCATCTTCCGGGTCACCCCCTCACCTATCCCTCCATCCAGTCGAACCCCCTAATGGTCACTTCCCCGGGGTGTCTCCTGGCCTGCCTGGGATTCCCTCACCCCCACTTCATCTCTCCGACCCGAGCCAGGAGAGTCCTCCCTCCTCAAAAAGCGTCCTTGATGCTCAGGGGGAGACCTCTGAGGTGTCCCCCATCCAGGACGCGCACTTGAGCACCCAAAGACGGCTACAGAGCAAGGGGCACCCCGAGGGCGTTAGACTGGGGGACACGGCGTCTGCGCCCATCTTCCTGCACTGGGTCCTGGCTTCTGTGTCTCCCTCCGGGTGCGGAGAACCCGCCGGCTGTCGGCTTTGTCTGGGCTAGCCTGGGACCCTCCTCCTCGGGCTCCTCATCAGAGGCCGGGCGTCGGAGCTGCCATTTGCATAGCTCCCCTCCCCCTGCCCCGTCCTTTCTCCGCTCTTTGTGTCCCGCCCCCTGTCAATCTCCAGCTGCCTTCTGTCCCCGCTCCTGCCTTCTGCCAGCTGATTTCTTGGCGGTGGCAGGCGGGCAGCTGGGGCTGGGGGCGGCTTCGCGCCCGGCCAACCGCAGAGTCCCCAGTTCGGGACAGTGGGGGGACACTCGGGTCCCAGACGATGTCCGCGCCGGGCTGGCTCTCCGCCTCCCTGCCCATCACCGCCGTCTCCTCCAGAGACCCACAAAGTCCCGTCCTGTCCCCTCCGGGGCCCCAGGGAGGATGAGGGGGACACACCCTCACCATGACATTGCATTTCTTCTTGGGGACGGCTCCCCCACCCCCAGTCCCCCGGGGGGAGCAGCCACCGCCACCGAGACCGCCCCGAGCCGCCTCCTAATTGGGCTCAGGGCGGACAAACCGCGGCGGGAGCCCGGGCCGCCCGCCCGCGAGCGCCGCATCCGCCGTCCCGCCGGGAGGTGACATCGGTGTCCCCAGGGCAGGGGGCTGTGGCGGGTGCCGGTCCAGAGGCGCCCGAGGGGGCCAGCGCCGCCGGCCGGGCGTGGCCGGGCAAGGCTGTGTGGTCCGTCCCAGGGGTTGCCGTCAGGGGTCCCCGTGGTTAGGGGGGGTCTTTGTGGATGGCAGGCGCAGAAGGGGACCCCGCACCCCACGGCCGCCCTCGGTCCCCGGTTGGCACCAGCGGGTGCACCGTGACCTGTGACTCGCGCACACTTGACCCGACTCGGGGCCTCTGGGGCTCTTGTCTCCACCACCCTAGGGAGTCGGGGTGTCCCGCGTCCCTCCCTCGTGGACTCCAAGGCGGCCGAGCCCCTCTTGGTGACTCGGTTTCCCCTGCCGTCTTGACTCTCGTTCTCCACGGTGTCACTCGGTGTCTGCAGACCTGTGGCTTCACTGCCGTCTCGCCTGCCGGGTGGCCCCGCCGTGGTGGCCCCGCCGGGTGGCCAGGAGGATGCGCTGTGAAGGCGCGCGGTGGCTCCGGTGGCCGCGGCCCCGCAGCGCCCCTTGGCCCCGCTCTCACCTGTTCCCCGTGATTGTCTCAGCCGCCGCGTGGGGGGGAAGGAGGGGGCGTCGAGAGAGTTCGGGGTGCGGGCGAGCCCGAGGAGACGCCTAAGAATAAAGACAGATATTTATAAACCCGCCGGCTTGGGGCACAGGGAGCGGCGTCTGCCGCCCTGGACTTGGGGTCTGGTTGGGTCTGTGGACCGTTCAGTGGCCGTGGCTTCCTTGTGGGGGTGTCTCTGGCTCCTGCGGGGAGCCCTCCGCCTAGGGTTCCTCCACACGAGGGAGGATGTGCACCGAAGGCTGGCTGTTTCCCGTGTGCTGTGCGTCCCCGGGCTCGGCTCTGGCCCTCTCTGGTCCAGCGTTCCCGGTGCACCTGACATCCCAGAGCCTGGAAGTCCTGGGTGGAGGAGGCCCCGCCGCCCTCCCTCTATCCTCGGTGGTCCAGCTCGTGCTGGGGGCGCGGAGGGAACGGGACGGGCGGCCACGCGGCGACCGGACCCACCGAGGGGTCCCCAAACAAAGGCGCGGGCTGCGGGAACGGGAGAAATCAGGGGAGGGGGAGGGGCTGCTGGGGGGAGGGGCTGCTGGGGGGGGGGACCCCGGGTGGGGGTCGCCCGCTCAGCGTTCTCACCAGGGGACACTTGGACTTTGGGGATTAGGAACTGTGGTGTGCGGGGGCGACCAGAGAGGGTGACTGAGTCCGAGAGCGCACAGCACGCCAGGGAGGTCGGGGCTGCCCCACTTGGTGTCCGGGGACGCGTGCGCCCCTTTCCTTATCCGAGGAGGGTGCCGGATAATCCGCACTTCCGAAGGACGCAGATCGGGGGTCCGGCGGCCGGGCTGGGCGAGGCCTGGGGCGCGCCCCGAGCCTTGGCCCTGGCCCCCGGCGGATCCGCGCGCGCAGGCCGCGGTGGGGGCCCCGCGTCCTCGGCTTCCACCTCTCGCTGCTGTCATTTTGACCTCTTCCCCTTCCTTCTGCGCTGACTCCCCTCCCCGCCTCTCGCCCTGGCGGAGCTGAGGCCGGGGATTGACGCCATTTCAACCCCGAGCTGAGAGCGGAAACCCGGGTTCGCCCCCACCGTCCCCCTCCTTTTGGCCGGTGACCCCCTTTGCTTTTCGGTGACCTCGCTGCTCCCCGGTGCTCGCGCTGTGCAGCCCGGCTGGGTTCCTAGGCCTCTCTGTGCCTCTGTGTCCGCCGCCGCCCACGTCTGTCCCCGGCACCCAGCGGGGAACCGCGACCCCGTGACCTTGCACGCCCGTGGGCCGGACGTCGCCCCCGTGGGGTCGTCTCCTCGCGTCTACACCCGTGACCAGCAAATCGGATGCGGGGTGGTGCAGCGCCGCCCAGGCGGGGGTCTTCGTCACACCGGGGACCACGGTTCAAACCCCGCCTCTGCTGCTCTGAGGCTGTGCGGCCTGGGGCAGAGGCTGGACCTCTCTGTGCCGCGCATCGCTGCGGATGTGTACAGTGGCCGCTCGGCAGCGTGAGGGCCGCGGTGAGTCCCTGGCATCCCCCTGCCTCATCCCCAAGCCCTCGAGCCCGATGACTCAGCGTTGCAAACTGGGGCGTTCCCCGCCGCTGGCTGCCTAACCAGGCCACCCCACTTCCGCGGGGAGGCGGGGGGTCCCCAGACGACGCCCAGAGCCGTGGAGGGGCCAGACTTGGGGGTTCCAGGTCATCCTCGGCTGTTTGGCAGTGCGGGGCTAGCCTAGGCTAAGGTGAGCGCTCGCTGCCAAGCCCGGGGCCCCGAGTTCGAGTCCCAGGGGTCGTCTGCCCGCGGAGCGCCCTGCGGCCCTCGTCACGCGCGCGGGGCGCACGAAATGGATAAAATGAACCATTGAACAATTAGAAGAGGAAGCCCTCGGCCGTTCCCGGAATTCTCCGGGGTTGAGCAGGGACGCTGGGTCCCAGGCCACACGGCACCAGAGCAGGGGAAACTGAGGCAGAAACCCAGACAGGGCAGCCGCTCAGAGCCCGGCAGTCATCCCAGGAGGTGGAGGCATCGGATCAGGAGTTCAAGGTCGTCCTGGGCTACATGGGGGTCTGAGGCCAGACTGGGCTACACCGCGTCACTCAGTTGTCCCACCGAGTCCACCCGTGTTTGCTCCGGTCCCGGGTCTCGGCCAAAACCACCTGATGGAGCCGCAAGACCTGGGGGCACCCCGCTCCCCCGCACCCCTGCACCCCGCTCCCCCGCACCCCACTCCCCGGGAGCCACGTGCCTCAGTTTCCCTGGCTGGCAGTGGGCTGCGCCTGCGTCACCGCAGGGACCCTTCACTGGTGACTGTGGCCAGGCCACAGAGAGGGTCGCTCAGCCCCAGGGGCGGAGGGGGACCCGAACTCCTGTTCCCGCGGCCCTGCGGCCGGCAGCTGGGGTTCCCGCCCCCCCGGGGGCGCGTGCCAGAGACTGCTGTGTGGCCGCAGGCGCGCAGTGCCCTCTCTGAGCCGGTCTGAGGGGTGGCGCTCGCCGCCTGGTGACCCCGTGACCCGGGCGCTGAGGAGGCGGAGTCAGGGGGCCCGCCTGGGACTCGCTGGACCCAACCCCAGCCAATCAGCGAGCTCCCGCTGCAAGAGGGACGCCCCTGACAGCCAGAGGTCCCAGGTTCAAGTCCCGGGCCCGCCTCTCGGGCCTCAGTTTCCCCTGAGACATCAGGCAGCGTGGGGGTCCTGTTTCCCTCCAGCCCCCTCCCG